CACCCCTGAGGCAGCTGACTGGTACTGGTGGGCCAAGCATGCGGCAGCTCAAGCGGATGCAGAGGGGAAAACCTGGGGCTGGGAGGAGTTTGGAGAGGCCATGGAGGAGGACTATCGGACGGCCTCAAAGAGACTCTGGCAAACCTCAGAAGAGGGAAGCAGTTCTTCACCAACACAGTTTACAGTGCAGGGGGGAGAGCTGTTGACCTTGACTGAGGACGTTTTCAGACAGTGGAAGGAATACTTTGAGAATCTTCTTAATCCCAGCGTCACGTCTTCCAAGGAGGAAGCCCAGGCTGGGAACTCGGAGGCGGACTCGTCCATCACCCTGGCTGAAGTCACTGAGGTGGTTGGCAAGCTCCTTGGTGGCAAGGCTTCGGGGTTGGATGAGATCCGTCCTGAGTATCTTAAGTCTCTGGATGTTGTGGGTCTTGGCTGACACGCCTCTTCAACATCGCGTGGCGGTCGGGGACAGTACCTCTGGACTGGCAAACTGGGGTGGTGGTCCCTCTGTATAAGAAGGGGGACCAGAAGCTGTGTTCCAACTACAGGGGAATCACACACCTCAGCTTCCCCGGGAAGGTCTATGCCAGGGTACTGGAGAGGAGAATCTGATCAATAGACGAACTTCGGATCCAGGAAGAGCAGTGTGGTTTTCGTCCTGGCCATGGAACACTGGACCAGCTCTACACTCTCCATCGGGTGCTCGAGGGTTCATGGGAGTTTGCCCAACCAGTCCACATGTGCTTTGTGGATCTGGAGAAGGCATTCGTCCCTGTTCCTCATGGTGTCCTGTGGGAGGTGCTCTGGGAGAATGGGGTCCGGGGCCCTTTACTAAGGGCTGTCCGGTCCCTGTATGACCAGAGCAGGAGCTGTGTTCGCATTGCCGGCAGTGAGTCAGACCTCTTCCCGGTGCATGTTGGACTCCACCAGGGCTGCAATTTTTTCACCGGTTCTGTTCATTGTATTTATGGACAGAATTTCTAGGCGCAGTCAGGGGCCGGAGGGGGTCCAGTTTGGGGACCACACTCAGTTACATTTACTCTAGTTAGGCTATTGCTTTTTCTTCTTTCAGGATCTTGAAGAGTTTGTGAGCTCGGCTGAATCTGGGCTGGTGATCGTCACGTTTGGCTCCATGATAACAAACCTGACGATGGAGCGTGCTGAGGTCATCGCCACTGCACTGGCCCAGATCCCACAGAAGGTCTAAACCAGGACAATACCAGCACTACCCCAAGACTATACCAGGTCTAAATCAAGTCTAAACCAGGACATGTGTGTGTTTTAGGTGATCTGGAGGTACAGTGGACCCACTCCTCGCTCTCTGGGACCAAACACCAAATTGCTGGACTGGATTCCTCAAAATGACCTCCTCGGTACCTCTCTTCATCTCTCTTTGAGTTTGTAGACTTTTAGACAACCAATGCATAAAAGCTCAATAGAGTTAAAAAACTAAGATCATAATGTTTATTTTTAGCTGAAGACACCTCAAATGCCCATAGTCAGATACTTTTGCATTTGATGGCAGACACTTAAAAAAGCACATTGGCACACCTAAAATTTTGCTAAAAGTTCAGCTCAAACTAAAATGCTCCACTTCCAAGGCTTGTACATCCTTGCAGTGTTAATGTATGTAATTGTCAGATACCTTCACTGTCTGTGTATATCTCCCCCTTTAGGCCACCCTCAGACACGCGCCTTTGTGGCCCATGGCGGCACTAACGGTCTGTATGAGGCGCTATTCCACGGTGTGCCTATAGTGGGCATACCGCTCTTTGGTGACCAGTCGGATAACATCGCCCGTCTGAAGCGCCAAGGGGGCGCCATCATGCTCAACTTCAACACCATGACATCACAGGAAATAACGTCAGCCGTCAATGAGGTCATCAACAATCCCAGGTGAGTCTTGTCTTAGCAGAGTTTTAACTTTTAACTTTGTGTTGTTAGAATTAGCATTGTGTTAATTTGCACGGGGATGTGATAGATTTTAGACTTACAGTATATACTTATTGTGAAAAGAGTTATTTATAGTTTTATGAATCATTATTGCTGATTATTACCTTAATTTACTTTTCATTCATATTTTCTACAAATGTTCACAAGACCGGGACAGTATCAGTGGTTTATTGTATCATTTAACCTAACTTAATTATTTATTGATTGGACATAATATGTTTAAGCAGTTAAATAACACTGTTAAATAACACTAAGCCTGCACCTGAATGTGTATGATCTGTCTCTGATGACTCCATATCCCATGATCCTCAGCTACAGGCAGAGCACCCTAAAAGCGTCGACGATACACAGGGACCGTCCCCTCTCCGCCCTGCAGGAGGCAGCGTTCTGGGTGGAGTTTGTCATGAGGAACGGAGCGTCTCACCTGCGGCTGGCCTCCTACGAGCTCAGCTGGTTCCAGTACTACAGTCTGGACGTCGCCGCCTTCCTGCTGATCGTCATGGTCATTGCTATCGCTGTCATGGCAACTATCATCAAAAAGGGACTGAGACTGGGGCGAAGACTGGTCCAGAGATCCAGACCGCATCAGGACTGAAGCCAAGAATAGACAAGGACTGAACTAGGACTGAGCCAGAACTAAGCCAGGACTGAATGAGGACCGAACCAGGACAGTGTTGTCTGTTACGGCTCGCCGCCTGACTCCACCTTGCCCTGTGCTCCCCGTTTGTTTTACCGCTTGTGCATTCTGTATTTCCATATGCTGTGTGGTACCTGGCGCCTGATTGGTGGGGTGTGGTCCCGTCGCTGTTGGGCTGGTTCCAATGTTCCTTGTGCCTGGTTGGAGAATTGACATCCCGCTCCTCCAATCCTCTTCCTACACATCCCATCGCCACATCCAGTAAAAGTGCCATGCACTTGTTTCTCCGGGCGGCAGAATGTCAGTTTCAGTCTGCCACTCTGGCTGACAGACGTATTTCTAGATATCTCCCATTATTAATGTGAATTTGAGTATTCTGTCTATCGAGGTCGTTACCTATTGTTTGTTATAATTGCCAGGTTGGCTCGACCTGTGGGCATTTGTATTGTGTTTATTTATACTTATCCTATTAGAGATATATTGTTTAGTTGTATTTGGAAACTTTGATTTACCATAAACACTGTTTTGTTTTGGGGTTTTTTTGTTATTGAACTTCCTTACTTTCACTTTATAAAGCCACTTACTTCACATCACATCTTGTTTGTGTTACTTTCCTTTGTCTCTAGCTCTGGTTTGTAACATATTGGGGGCTCGTCCGGGGGGTCGTAAAACCCTGTCCCACCTTATTAAATTGGAAATGATTGATTAGTAGGTTTGTATTAGTTATATATGTTAATATATAACTAATTATATATGTTAATTCTGTTGTTTTGTTTCTTAGTTTAGGTTACTTTCTGTATGTACTTTAGTCTGTTTTGTTAATTTACCTTTACCTCCCTGTTAATTAAACATATTTAATTTATTCCATTTCCATCATTTCATTATTTCCATCTTGTTTTTTTGTTTTTTGTTACTTCCCTGACCCCATCAAGGTGGGTCGTAACAGTAACAAGGTGGGAATAAATTAATCAAATCTAAAATAGGATTACGTTTGACCTGAATGAGGTATAAAAACAATTATCTAACAATCCCCAAACTAGGACTGAACCAGGACTAAACCAGCTCTAGTCCAGGTCTGGATCAGGAATTTTCTACAATATTGCCAAAGCGAGAAAGTGAAAATGTTTACTTAAAATGTTGCCTTCTTCTATATTCTCAGTTTTCATAAGAATTCTATAAAAATTAATCCATAAAAAGACTATACTGTCTATATATATATATATATATATATATATATACATATACATACATACATACACACATATATATACATATATATATACATACATATATATATATATATATATATATATATATATATATATATATATATATATATATATATATATATATATATATATATATATATAAGTTATTAACACTTTTAAATCTTAATTGTTTCTATTCTGACCATTAAAAAGGAAAAAAAAATGCATTTCTACAACTCTTATATAAATATTCATATGCCTTGACTTTTTAAGTATAATTTATTTAAGAGTCATTTAAATTGCAAAAATCAAAGCTATAGTTGGTTTAAAAACTTGAAATGACTTGAAGCTCAAAGCAGACAACTTGGACTTTTGGGCCAGTGACTCGAGACTCGACTTGGACTTGCCTGTATTTGACTTGGGATTTGACTTGGATTTGAGGTCAAAGACTTGAAACTTACTTGAGACTTGCAGAATAACGACTTGGTTCCACCTCTGTCTGTCCCACATGTCACATACATGTGTACAACACATCCCTATAATGGATGAATATACACAAGGATGAACTGCTAATTTAAATATATTTTGTGCGTTGCTTTGTTTTCTGACGATCTTTAAATTTCCTTAGTGATCAATAAAGTATCTAAATTATATCATTGGGGGACAGGTCAGAATTCTGTGTCAGAATTCGCTGTGTAATTGTCAGATTACATTTTGTATCTACCTGGTTATGGTTATGGTTATGATTAAGCCTGCAATTACTAGACCGGCACCCACGTAAAATGTGGCATAAAGTTCAACTTTTTTCCCCTTTTACTATTGCTATCAATATTCAAACTCAAATGTGTGTGATTTTTGTCAGTTGAATGATACTGATGGACTAGATTTACATTTTGGTAATTTCTTTGAAAAACAGTTCTATAACAACAGCCCCTGCCTGCCCTCCATCTGAAACAGTGACGTCATACTTATAAACCCGCAACCTTTATTCATCCTATTTTTGTTCTGCTTTTCAGTAGTAAAAGAGTTTAATAGCAAAGTGCAGGAGATAAGAGCTGATTCCTGATTGGCCAGCGCAGATAGGGCTGCCGCTCTCTGATTGGTTGGGGGCATTTACATGAAACAGCTTGAATGCTTTACAGTGACCTCTACCTTGATTTGACCACATGACACTTCTGACAAATGGGCAGCCTGGACTTTGTTTCTCTACAGTTCAGTTGGTTCCAGCGGTCAGTATCAGCAGGTAAGACTTGTTTCTGGGCTTGTATCTTCAGTAATATTCTGTTTTCTGTGCCTTTAAAGATGCACAATGTCACTTTTCTGGCACTTCTTCATCTCCATGGATATTAAACTTTTTATCCATCTTGTATTTAGTCAGTTACAGGTGTTTTAATTTTCTGAAAATATCTCCACCGCTCCACAGACCTGTTTAATCACCAGCTTGTTTCCATAGAGACTGTTAAGTTGATGCCATGCCGATAAGTAACATCTGAGAAAAGTTACACAGTGCATCTTTAAGTCTGAAAATGATTCTGGTTGGGGAAAAGGTAACACTAACGTTCATTCTGTGCCTTGCCCATGGGTACAACAAAAGTGAATCGCTTCCTCTCCAGTGTATTCAAACTGCCATTGCCGAGCCCTTGTTTAAACCTGTCCTTTAATACAGTCCTTCATTCACTGCTCTTTTAAAATCCCGGACACATTGTTCACGAGAGTTCACCGATGAAATGTGACACGTGCAGACTTGTTTTAACAGTTTCGTCCTAGCGTGGAGTGGGTGTGGTAACAAAAAAATTTTTCTAACTCTTTCTTTCTGTACGTCGTCATTTCAGTAGGAAAAGTTGTCAATAACGACATTGGAAGGTTGAGTCGCTGTTACGCAAAGTCCAAGTTATTTGTGCCGTCGTTACGCACACACTGGCGGGTTGGAGGAGCCCATCTCTTCTCCGGGGAAACTGAAAGGACCGAGGAGGAGGAACTAACGGAGAAGACCAAAGCAACTTCTAAATCATTTAACCAGCGTTTTGAAAACTTGGGAGAATTTGAAGTGGATTTTCAGAAAGGTGTGTTTCAACTCCGGTTTGCGCTTTGTTAGAGTAACGTGACTGATTTATCAACTATGGGAGACTTAAGGACGCGGAAGAAGTGGGCTGGCTAGTAGTTGTAGTAATAGCAGTAGTAGTAGTAGTAGTAGTAGTAGTAGTAACAGCAATAAGTAGCAGTGATTTATGATTTGAAGTTATTTGAATGCACAAAACAAAATCTAATATCACTGAACCACTAAAAAACGTAAATGTTCAAATGTATCAAAACCATTATTATCACCATAGAGACAGGCAAGTAATGGACCTTTCAACAGAAAAGTTACAGAGTGTCTCTTTAGCCCCTGGCATAATGGAGCGGTGTAAGAGACACAAATGTTCAAATCATTTAATATTGTCAACATAAAGCTTTTGTCACTTGTAGACTTACTCACAGTGAGAAGAGAAACCAAAACATTTATTCAAAATGTACAATCACTGAAAAACAGGAATTCTAACTGTGAGCTGGGTGACCTCTCCCTCTCACCTTGGCATAGTAGATGCCAAGGTATGGAGTATTATCTCCATGGAGACAGGCAGGTGGTGGACACTGCAGAAAAGTTACATAGTCCACAATTAAGACATAAGGCATAGTTATGGGTTTCATCTTACTTTTGTCACATTCTGATCATAAAAACAAATGACAAAACGCTCTTTTCCTGTTTTCACTCTGTGTGGGAGTGCTCTCCAACTCACAGATGAGGTCAAATATCTTGGGCATTATGTCACCAGTGACCTCCCAGATGTATAGAGACATGTACAGGCAGCAGTGTGAGCTTTATGGTCAGGCCAATATGCTTGTCCGTAAGTCCTCCATGTGCTCCAGGGATGTCAAAATTGCACTCTTTAAATGTTTCTGCTTGCTCTTGTACACTGCGCATATTTGGCGCAACTAACAAGAAAAAGAGTTTGCAGAGTTTGACAGTGGCTTATAGCAATTCTTTGAGAATATTACTGAAAGTGCCAAGGTTCTGTAGTGCCAGTGAAATGTTTGTAAATTGGGGTGAGAGACCCTTTGTCGTCATGATCAGATGTTGTATTTATTCTTTTTTTGTGTAGCCATGAATCTGAGCAGTCAAATCATTGAAGCTCTAGTGTGTCCTGTGAGGAGCTCTGTCAGATTCTCCTCTGAGCTGTGGAGACACTGGTGCTCTTGTCTGTACACATTATAACATGCCATGTATATAAAAAATTTTTATTCTTACTATTTTCTTTTAATACTATGAACCAGATATTACGTGTTCTTAATAAAGACTGAACTGAATTTAATTGTTATATACAAAATAGTTTTAAAATTGATATGGCAATTGCACAATTGTTTCTATTGTAAAATTCTTGTATAGGTTACATTTTATGAAATATTTCTTGCAATGCAGGATCCATATGCCCTAACCCCTCATCTCCTCTGCAGTGTTACCATGAGGTCCCTGCTCCTGTCTCCAGTCTTGGTCCTGGTTTTGGTCGTGTTCCAGGTTGATCCGGTCTGCGGGGGTAAAATCCTGGTGTTCCCAGGTGAGTTTAGTCACTGGCTGAACATGAAGAGTTTGATCCTGGAGCTGCACCGACGAAACCACTCCATCAGCATCATCGTGCCATCAGGAACTCCATCGGTCAAGTACAACGACACAGAGCTGCAAAAGACCTTCAACTTTATTGTGTTTGAGGTCAGTATTAAACCAGAACTGAACCAGGACTCATTTAGGATTTAACCAGGACTACACCCAGACTAAACTAGGACTGGAACAGGATTAAACCAGGATTTAAACAGGATGGAGCCAGGACAAGGCCTGTCACAATAACACATTTTGATATATATTATTATATATTGCTTCAGGATATACTGCGATCAGTAATGATATTGAAACTACTTTATGTCATTGATACAACAACAATAATGCAAGATAATCCCAATAATCCATTTTTAACTAGCATCATTAAGATTGCTTGTCCAGGCAGCCAGTCCCTTCTACATTCTGTTTGAATCCAGAAGCGTCTGGAATGAGACCACAGAGCGTGAAAAACCTTAGTTCAAACATGAGACGATCCAACCACAGCTGCTATCTTGTATAACGTGTCTCTCACAAATGTGGAAGGTATCTCCTCTTGAAAATTCATGTAACAGTCAGAAGAAAATATATAACTTCTTTTACCTGAGACAAGTAATAGTTTGGTGTTTCAGTTGTTCATTCTGGGAAAATCCATGCTGTTTCTCAGTCATTTATATAGTTTTCTCCCTTTTTTTTGTTGTTGTAAGCAGCCATGTTTGTTTTTGATGGAGCATGGGTCTCTGATTGGTTAATCCGCCTGTCAATCACTCCCTCTGAAATCGTCTCGATACGGCTCCAGATCCAAAGCCTGATTCATCAGCCGTTTTCACTTTGTAGAAATTGTCGCAGCATTAGAATTGATTCGCTCGATGGTAGGCGGTACTTTTTTCATTTAGTCAATCTCTGCTATTTGGTTGTGACATAATGCACCGCTAACGGGACTGTTATATTAAGCTTTTCCCAAATCCCATAGGAAGAAGGGCAATAACGTCTTTCCCCTTGATAAAATTCACCAAACATTGTCTTTGTTCCAGCTTTAAATCCTTGATTTCGGGAATCGTTGCCAACACAGAATGTATGGCTCTTCGCTGATTGGCTGGTGCCTGGACCCACCCTTCCAGGATTCTTGCAAACCGTCTAGTGTATTCTGATTCCTGACCTAGTCACTAGAGAGAAATTAAATTGAGCGGAGGCACTAGGTGGCGCCAGCTTGGCTACTGGATCCACCCGTCTTCGTAAAGTTTATGTCAAAACATGTGGTTTCCGTCTGGTCAAGTCATTAGCCGTAATTATCCTTAGCCAAGTCACCGATTTAACCTTTTAAAGCTCAAATGTTTTTGTATTAATACAAAAATACATCCCACTTTTACAAACAATTATTGATCCCCAAAATGTATTGTTGATAAGTCGATATAGTAATTATCATGACTGAAGCAGGACTGACCTAGAACTGAACTAGTGAAAATAATAGACATTTTACCTGCAGTCATCTCAGTTTAAAGGTGCACTATGTAACTTTTCTACTGGAGTGAATGTGACCTGCTTGTTTCCATGGCTATTAAACATCTGTTGGATACAAGCAGAGGACGCCACTAGACAAAGTTACAGGTCAGATCTACAGAGAGGCGATCCAACTTACAGTAAGAATGCATTTTTTCAAGATATTTTTTAGCAATAAAAAAAATTTAAGATATGTACATTTAAAACCATACTGTAGAAGATTCTCTAACCCTAACCCTCCATGGGAAAAGTTACACAGTGCACCGTTTAGTTCAAGGATTTTGGAGGATGGGAGGGCATCTGACACAGTCCTTCCTCTCCTGTCAGGTTCCTTTCACTGCCCAAGAGTACATGATCTTTCTGGAGGAGTTCATGCACTTCTCCATGTACGAGTCCCACAAAGCGTCCATTATGACCAAAGTTCGTCTGACGTACTCTTGGCTGAGTCATTCCGTGACCATACAGAAACAGACGTGCTATGGAATCGTCCACAACGCCGCGCTGATGTCTCAATTACGCAACGCCAAATTCGACCTGGTGCTGTGGGACCCCATGAGCGCCTGTGGTGACCTGGTGGCAAAGCTACTCGATCTTCCCATAGTGGCTTCTCTAAGGTTGGTTTCATTATTATATTATTATTATTATTATTATTATTATTATTATTATTATTATTATTGTTATATAGGGTTCAAATCAGATACTTTATTATCACTACTGAATACTCATTTTGGCAAGTATCACAAAATCACATTGACAGGACAAAAGTATTATTAGTATTAGTCATATAAAACCATTAAACTAAACATTTCATCGTTTTGTGTTGAAAAAGGAGCATAACTTTATTTTCATTGTGGCATCAAAATCTATATTGAGCTCTTTCTTTAGCATTAAAATCAAGTTTGAAATTTAAATTTTCTGCATTAATATTTATTTAAAAAATGTATTCTTTTTAAAGATCAGGGGATTACAGAAATTTATAGGAACTGTTCTTGGTACTGTTCTATGTGAAAATCGTTGAAGCTGTTAATAGTTGCACTCAAACGACTGTTTTTTCTCTCCTGCTTCTCGTGTTTGATTCCTGCTTTTTTCAGATTTTCATTCGGTGCTGTGGTAGAACGTCACTGTGGCCACGCCCACTTACCTCCGAGCTACGTGCCCTCCTCCCCTCTGCCGTACAGTGACATCATGACCTTTAGTGAAAGAGTGACCAGTTTTCTGACCAACCTGCTGAGCTCCGCAGTGTCTGAATTGTTCTGGATGGTCACAATGAATGGATTCTACTCAGAAGTTCTAGGTAAAGACATTAAAACAACACTAAACATGCTGTTCAGAGCCAAAAAAGAATAATAAAGTACAATAATATGTATATGTTTTGGTTTTACAGAATAATCAGTATTTGATTTGAACATGTCATCCTTGTATCTGGGGGCATAGTTCAGGTCATGGTCATATTTAAAGAATTTAAAATCACAATCTTACATATAAGGTTTACGTCCTGGATTAAGTATGGTATTAAAATCATGTTTGAAAATCACAAGATGGATTGATGATATGTGGGATATAAATTAGGTGCTTGTTTCAATAGATATGTCATCTCTCTGCCTGGAATGTTTCACAGTAGGACACTCTACCTCTCTATCTTACATGTATTCAAGTACAGGTGGTTTTATAGCTCAGAAATATCTAGAAAAACAGGCATTTTGACTGTGAGCGGGGTCACCTCTCCACAGATCTGACCTATAACTTGGTCTGGTTTGGTCTCCATGAAGATAGAAAGGTTTAATGAATCCGTGTATCATTCGTTCGTTCATTCATTCTGTGCAAAAGTCCGGCACCGCAATTAAAGTTACGGAAACGGGAAATGGCCGTTACTCGTTACGATTTTTCCATTATTCATTTAAAAACAAAATCGAAAACTGAAAAAAACAAATCCTTATCCGTTTTATTTGAAAAACGAATGAACGAATGATACACAGATTTTAATGCCATACTGTGAAACATTCGAGACAAAGCAATAACGTCTCCATGGAGAAAAGCATTTAACAGGCCCTCCGCCAGAAAAGTTACACAATGCACCTTTAATAACTAATAGGTTTACCTTTTTGTGTAAACTTTCTTTGTGCAGGGCAGTCGACCACCGCGTGTGAAATGATCGGTCGAACGGACATGTGGCTGATCAGAACTTACTGGGACATCGAGAGTCCAAGGCCCCTCCCCCCAAACTTTCGCTATGTGGGCGGGCTCCACTGTAAACCGGCCAATCCGCTGCCAGCAGTAAGCCGCCAATCACACACAGAAAAACACAGGCTATGAAAGATACAGTTACACAAGATACTTATAAAACAGTTTTGTAGATATGCCAAGTTAGAATCAGAATGTGTGATACTTGAATCTCCAATATCCATTTGACATGCATGTTTTAACATGTTTTTGATGTATTGTTTGCAAAAGTATTATCTAATTACTGAGTTTAAAAAATAGATTGAAGGATTGGTTGTGCTCCATGTGTTTGGGGCACATGAAGCACCCATATTATTCACAACATCATTTAATAATTATTTCAGTATTGGATGCAGTGACCAAAATTTTTTTTTTTAAAAGTAGGTAAAAATAGATTGAAGACTGAATGGTAATTTTTAGTCCAACTGTTAAAAACTTAAAACGTGTCAAAGCTTTGGAAAACAGTCACTCAGTTACATTTACTCTAATTAGGCTATTGCTTTTTCTTCTTTCAGGATCTTGAAGAGTTTGTGAGCTCGGCTGAATCTGGGCTGGTGATCGTCACGTTTGGCTCCATGATAACAAACCTGACGATGGAGCGTGCTGAGGTCATCGCCACTGCACTGGCCCAGATCCCACAGAAGGTCTAAACCAGGACAATACCAGCACTACCCCAAGACTATACCAGGTCTAAATCAAGTCTAAACCAGGACATGTGTGTGTGTTTAGGTGATCTGGAGGTACAGTGGACCCACTCCTCGCTCTCTGGGACCAAACACCAAATTGCTGGACTGGATTCCTCAAAATGACCTCCTCGGTACCTCTCTTCATCTCTCTTTGAGTTTGTAGACTTTTAGACAACCAATGCATAAAAGCTCAATAGAGTTAAAAAACTAAGATCATAATGTTTATTTTTAGTTGAAGACACCTCAAATGCCCATAGTCAGATACTTTTGCATTTGATGGCAGACACTTAAAAAAGCACATTGGCACACCTAAAATTTTGCTAAAAGTTCAGCTCAAACTAAAATGCTCCACTTCCAAGGCTTGTACATCCTTGCAGTGTTAATGTATGTAACTGTCAGATACCTTCACTGTCTGTGTATATCTCCCCCTTTAGGCCACCCTCAGACACGCGCCTTTGTGGCCCATGGCGGCACTAACGGTCTGTATGAGGCGCTATTCCACGGTGTGCCTATAGTGGGCATACCGCTCTTTGGTGACCAGTCGGATAACATCGCCCGTCTGAAGCGCCAAGGGGGCGCCATCATGCTCAACTTCAACACCATGACATCACAGGAAATAACGTCAGCCATCAATGAGGTCATCAACAATCCCAGGTGAGTCTTGTCTTAGCAGAGTTTTAACTTTTAACTTTGTGTTGTTAGCATCATCATGTTAATTTACATGGGGATGTGATAAATTTTAGACTTATACTTATTGTGAAAAGAGTTATTGTAGTTTTATGAAATCGTTATTGCTGATTATTGCCTTAATTTACTTTTCATTCACATTTTCTACAAATGTTCACAAGACCGGGACAGTATCAGTGGTTTATTGTATCATTTAATCTAACTTAATTATTTATTGATTGGACATAATATGTTTAAGCAGTTAAATAACACTGTTAAATAACACTAAGCCTGCACCTGAATGTGTATGATCTGTCTCTGATGACTCCATATCCCATCATCCTCAGCTACAGGCAGAGCACCCTAAAAGCGTCAAAGATACACAGGGACCGTCCCCTCTCCGCCCTGCAGGAGGCAGCGTTCTGGGTGGAGTTTGTCATGAGGAACGGAGCGTCTCACCTGCGGCTGGCCTCCTACGAGCTCAACTGGTTCCAGTACTACAGTCTGGACGTCGCCGCCTTCCTGCTGATCGTCATGGTCATTGCTATCGCTGTCATGGCAACTATCATCAAAAAGGGACTGAGACTGGGGCGAAGACTGGTCCAGAGATCCAGACCGCATCAGGACTGAAGCCAAGAATAGACAAGGACTGAATCAGAACTGAGCCAGAAATGAGCCAGAAATGAGCCAAAACCGAGCCAGGACTGAACCAGGACAGTG